CCAGATTGGCAGGGGTTGAGTATGTTTTGTGCCGTTATAAATGAATATAGTCTCCTGTGCACGAGTTTCTCAAAGATTTTGGATGGCAATGGTAAGTTTGATATTGGCCTATAGTTGTTTAAATCTGTAGGGCCACCACCTTTATGTATTGGTGTAACCCTTGCCGTCTTGAGTAGTTTCGGGAAGGTGCTAGTTTCTGGTGACTTGTTAAAAAGTAATGAGGTAGCATGCGAGAGGGCGTGGGCCGCTCTCTAGTACAATAATGGTGGGACATGAGACAGATTCCCTGAGTTATTTTTAGGTGACTTTATAATCTCAGTGACTTCCATGGGCTCAATTGGAGCAAGATAGAAGGAATTTGGGAAATTCCCATCTAGGTAGTCCCCGGCATGGGCATTGGTGCGTGGGATTTTATTGGCGAGATTAGAACCTATGGTTGAGAAGAAGTCGTTTATCTTGTTAGCTGTGTCAGTGGGATGCAGTGGTGTTTCATTAGGTTTAGTTAGGGCAATATTCTTGTTTTTTTTCAGTTTGTGGGTCCCTAGAATCTGAGAGAGTGTTTTCCAGATCTTTTTTATATCTCCTCTTGTGTCAGTGAGTCTACTGGAGTAGTATAGTTGTTTGGCTTTCTTTATTACTTTGGTGAGGACTGATGAATAGTGTTTAAGAATATCTTTGTGCATTAAGCCCTGTCTATATTGCTTTTCATATTGGTGTTTCTTATCAATGGATTTCAGAATGGTGCTGGTTAGCCATGGGCAACCAAGCCGTTTGTTTGTGATCTGTTTCGTTTTTATAGAACAATGTTTGTTGTATAGTCTAAGTAATTTGTTAAGAAAAATGTCTGTCCAGTCATCAATACCATTGGCCTTGGAGAATTCTGTAGGCCAGTCAACAGTCTCTAGGTCAGCTGTGAACTTCCTTATTGAGGCCTCATCATGGAGTCTAAATGAAACTTTGTTGTATTCAAGTGGTGGTTTACTAATGTTTGTCAAGAGGAAGGTAGGGTAGTGGTCTGTAGTGCTATCTGTGATTATCCCTGATTTAAGGGGGGCTAGTATATTGGTCCATATGTGGTCTATTATGGTTGCACTTGTTTCAGTGAGCCTGGTTGGTTTAGTTATTGTTGGTATGAGGAGTGTGTTGTTCATATTGTTGATGAAATCAGTTACAGGCTGATCATCTAGTAGGCCAAGGTTGATGTTGAAATCTCCAGCTAAGAGAAGGTGGTGCTTATTCATTTGTCTGTTTGTTATTAGTGCCTTTAGTTTCTCACTGAAATTTGGGATGTTTGTGTGGGGTATCCGGTAAATGGCACTGATTGTAATAGGCGTCTTAAGGTTTTTTAACAGTAAAATTAGCAAAAATGTATTCTCCATATTCATCACTAAAGCAAGTGGTGCTAATACAAGATAATTGGTTAGAGTAATAGATTGCAATACCACCCCCAACTTGGTATGGTCTGCAGTTGTGGATTGCTGTGTATCCTGGTAGAGGGTAGATATCTATTGTGTCCTGCTTAAGCCAGGTCTCAGTAAAAATAATGCAGGAGAAGGGTGTCTTTAGTGATTCAAGGTGTGCCAGGAGGTCATCATAGTATTTGCTTAAGGACCTAATGTTGTAGTTAAGTACTGATAGACTTTTAGCATATACCCACCCTTCCTTCAGAGTGTAGGCACTGTACTTACCACCTCAGGGTAATTTTTTCATTAAGTCCTTTCCACCTACATGCTTTTTGTAATGATGTCAATGTTTGACATGAAACACATTTTATCATTATCTAAGTGTATATTGGTTTAGACTCTACGATTACATAGCCAGCAATCTTTTGTGAGCATCCTTGTTTGCATAAATTTAACTCGGTGCTAAGAGGAATCCGTAGAATTTTTTTGTTGCTGTCTTAGAAATCCACATTGCTGTCTTGTTAGTTGAAGTAGAAATGGAAATGTGCACAATTTTCAAAAATTTTAATGGAGAAGGATGCTGAGAGTAAATAAAAGCAAGAGTATTACATATGGGATTGATAGAGACAGCTATTCACTGTGTAATATTTAATTTGTGAAGAAACACTGAAAGTTGTTAATGTGTGCAGAGACCCTAGAGTAATGTTTAGTAAGGATATCAGTGGAGATATCGGTGGGAGACGGCCGACTTGTTGAAAAAAAAAAAATGAGTGGAAAAGCAGAAATTTAAATTGGAATAAATCAAGAAAGAGAATCAACAGAGGCTTTCGAAAGCCATGAGTAACAAAGAGAAATTACATGTAAAATGTACAGGATATCAGAAGAATGTATAATTTTAAGTGAAAATGTTAGATAATGTGTGATGAGGAAGTCAATGGGCAAAGAAAATGGTGATGAGAAAAGGGACAAAGAAAATTATTGAAGTTTGTCATGATTAGAAGACCATATAGAAACAAATACCAGGTGAGTAAATCAAGAAATAGGTAAATTTAGTAAATGAGTTATTAAAAGGGAGTTAGAAAACTGTGACAAGAGAAGTGTTTTGTTGTACAGTAGAGGATGACAGCAACTGAAGATTTAGACTAATTGATAAACCAACTGAATAAATGCAGTTAACCCTTTCAGGGTCAACAGGCCCTCTCAGAGACTTGTCCTCAGGGTCGGCCAAATTTCAAAAAAAATTTTTTTTTTTCTCATGAAAATATAGAGAATCTTTTCCCGATCATAATGACACCAAAAGTATGAAATTTGATGGAAAACTTACGGAATTATGCTCTCACGAAGTTAGCGATCTCGACGATGTTTACGCATCAGCAATTTTGCCCACTTTGAGCCCTATTTTCAGCCAATTCCAGTGTACTTGTCGACAGAAACCACCCATTTACCGATTTCAACTATCCAATACAGTGGTCAGAATTTAGCAATTTTGCCAATTTCACACAAATTTCAAAAGATGCCAATTTCCGAATAGGGTCCAGAATAAACAAGAAAGACATTCCTGGCACTAAAATAACATTTCCTCTGTTCATTAGTCATGTCCCCATGCCCCTCTTACATTATTTTGCTTTCCACTTTGAATTTTTATTCTCACAAAAAAAATAAGATTTACTGTTATGCAGACTACTGCAGTGGTATAGAAATGGTATAAATATTATCAGCGCACTTGTGAGAGAATATTAGACTCACCAGTTGACATGTATTGGACGCATAGCATGATTTGTTTACTTTTGAACTTTGGTAAAAATCGAACATTTCTGCTACTTTGAGCGCAATTTCAAGGTAGTTTTCTTTGTAAAACCAGTCAAAATCATCTCAATTTCTGTAATATGTCTTCCATTCTATAAAATGTAACCAGGAAAACTAGAATACAACAATAAATACCATACGAAAATACAGTGCAAAGTCGCTGTTTTAATTCAAAAACACGGTCAAAGTTTTTTTTTTCTCATTACGCACTGTGTGCTGCAGGATTTTTTTTTATACCACGCACACTGACCACATAGACCCATTCTTTCATATGTAGGCCTACCAGCTTTCTCTCACTAGATTTGAGGGCGCTAGAATTTAGGCGTACTAGTACGTCAAAAACCCTGGTGCATCAGCCGTACTAGTACGGCCGAAACCCTGAAAGGGTTAATAACAAAAAGCAAAAAGTTGCTTTTTGCTAATGACATTGTGCTTTTGAAAGATTCTGAAGAGAAGTACAAAGGTTGATTACGAATTTGGGAGGGAATGTAAAAGAAGGAAATTAAAAGTGAGCATAGGAAAGAGCAAGGTGATGAGGATAACAAACAATTTAGGTAATGGAAGATTGGATATAAAATTGGAAGGAGGGAGTATGGAGGAAATGAATGTGCTCAGATATTTGGGAGTGGACTTGTCAGCAGGTGGGTCTGTGAAGAATGAGGTGAACCATGGAATTGATGAGGGGAAAAAAGTAGGTGGTGCATTGAGGCACCTGTGGAGACAAAGACCCTTATCCATGGAGGCAAAAATTGGAATTTCTGAGAGTATGGTAGTGTACCAACACTTTTATGTGGGTGGGAAGAATGGATTGTAAATGTTGCAGAGAGGAATGAGGCAGTGGAGATGACGTGTCTAAGGGTAATGTGTAAGTATTGCGCAGAGAATTCATTGCTTGGCGATTAGGAAGAAGTGCAGCATTACTAAAAGTATTATCCAGAGGGTGGAGGAGTTGTTGAGGTGGTTTGGACATTTAGAGAGGATAGAGCAAAATAGGATGACTTGGAAGATGTATAAATCTGTAGTGGAGGGAAGATGGGCAGGGGTCACCCTAGGAAAGGCTGTAGGAAGAGGGTTGGACATCCATCAGGCATGTGTGTGCATGTTAGATAAGAGTGAATGGAGGCAAATAGTTTTTGGGATTTGATTAGCTGTTGGAGTGTGAGCAAGGTAACATTTTATGAAGGAATTCAGAGAAACTGGTTAGCCGGAGTTGAGTCCTGGAGATGGGAAGTTCAGTGCCTGCACTGAACTTCCCACCTCCAGGAGGGGTGGAACTATTTGCAGTTTGGAAGGGAATCTGAACTGTAGTATTTGCTTTCTTCTGGCAAGACAGTAATAGAGTGAATGATGGTGAAAGTGTTTCTTCTTTTTCAGGTTACCCTACCTTGTTGGGAGATGGCCAGTGTGTTAAAATTTTTTTTTTTATAAAACATGTCAAACATGAGCTTTTAGTCTTTTAGTGGATATAACTGGCCAGAATAGTATTTTAATTAGATCAATTGGCAGATAGAAAAGCCATATAATAGCACTGCTTCTTTTTATTTTTATTTTCCATTTTTTTGGACAAAATTAGAATCCTTTTTATAAGCACTCCTTTAAGCCCCGCTCTCTATCCCACTATCTGAGGCATTGCACTTGGTGACATGTACAAATGAATCATTTTGTTATTTGTTTTCTCCTCCCCATCCTTTGTCCTTCACCTGCCCAAACCTATTACACAACATACACTTCATGGCACACCACCTACCTTGCACTGCAAATTCTTCCTTGCACCTCCATCACATTGCACAGTGACAGTCCTGAAGACGTGAGCCGGGAACCATCCCCCCTCAACTTCCTCTCCCCCACCATTAGTTCCTCAGAGAAGCTGCAACAGCGTCGTGCCACGGAGAGACGAGAACAATACAAGCAAGTTCGTGCACACGTTAAGAAGGATGATGGCCGCATGCAAGCCTATGGGTGGAGTTTGCCTGCTAAAACAGGTCAAAAGGCCATTGAGGGACCTCAGGCTCAACCCAAGAGCACTTCTTCAACACACGTGCCTGTTCCTGTACCTGTATACTGTCGTCCACTTATGGAGAAGGAGCCAGGGATGAAGGTAGGAATTAATACATTTATTGCACTTGAAAACCTCAAGTGGCTTGCTTAATGGAGTTACTAAATTACTCTGTTACTATTGCATTGAGTCAAAGCATCATAGCTAAATTTCATTAGTCTAAACCTAATAATCAGTTATGTGTTGTGATCTATATGAATTTTATCTTGTGACAATGATTTATTGTGGTGATTCTTTAAAAGAAAATTATGGAGGTAAATGGACACAGATGCAACTAATGTGACATTTTATTGTGGCAATATTTTGCTCTCCAAGAGCTTTGTCAAGCTCTAATGCTACTGTTGATATTACAATCAGCTTATAGGCCATGTTTGAAGGGAATGTAGCCCTGATCAATCAGACTGCTAGTGTTGCCACTATAATAGTAGCACAGCTGTAGTACATAGAAAAAAAAATGGTGTCACGTATACAAACTGGCCATATCCCACCAAGGCAGGGTGGCCCAAAAAGAAACACAAAAGTTTCTCTTTTTAAATTTAGTAATGTATTCAGGAAAAGGGGTTACTACCTCTTGTTCCTGGCATTGTAGTCGCCTCTTACGACACGCATGGCTTATGGAGAAAGAATTCTGTTCCACTTCCCCATGGAGAGAAGAAATAAACAAGAACTAGTATGAAAATAAATGAAAGCCCAGAGGGGTGTGTACATATATGCTTGTACATGCAAGTGTAAGTAGAAATAGCAAGACGTACCTGAAATCTTGCATATTTATGAGACAGCAAAAAGACACCAGCAATCCTACCATCATGTAAAACAATTACAGGCTTCCGTTTTACACTCACTTGGCAGGACGGTAGTACATCCCTGGGCGGCTGCTGTCTACCAACCTACTACCTAGAGTGACTAAGTTATGTTGAAATAAAGTGCTGGGGAAAACCAATTGCAAATTTATTTTTTTTCACTTTGAATAATTATTTTGCATAAATTAAGATAATCTGTGAAAACATTCTCAGATATTTTCTTTGGAAATACTACTGTACTCTAATCCAATATTTTTCTGTATACTCTATATAGATACAGTACAGTAGGGCCCCACTTATACAGCAGGTTAGGCTCCAGGCTACTGCCATAAAGTGGAACACCCTTTTTTTCCCCCTTATAAATGCATACAAATGTTAGATAACAAGTTTACACTAACATATATTAAGTTAGCAATAGAACTAGGCATCAAAAAACAATAAAAAACTACAATACACACATAGTCCACTCATTATCTACCTTAAAATATTTATAGTCTTAATCTAGGGTGAGACAAGTAGTATTTATTTTAAGAAATCAAGTGTGGTATGTATGGTAGTCAGCCGAGCTACCATACCAGGCCAACACACCCACACATATACAGTGGACCCCCGCATAACGATTTTAATCCGTGCAAGAGGGGTAATTGTTATGCGAAATAATCGCTATGTGAATGAATTTTCCCCATAAGAAATAATGGAAATAAAATTAATCCGTGCAAGACACCCAAAAGTATGAAAAATTTTTTTTTTTACCACATGAAATGTTAATTTTAATACACACAAACTGAAAAAGGCATGCACACTTACATGACACTTACTTTTATTGAAGATCTGGTGATGATTGATGGGATGGGAGGAGGGGAGAGAGAATGTTAGTGTTTAGAAGGGGAATCCCCTTCCATTAAGACTTGAGGTGGCAAGTCCTTTTCTGGGGTTACTTCCCTTCTTCTTTTAATGCCACTAGGACCAGCTTCAGAGTCACTGGACTTCTTTCGCACAACATATCTGTCCATAGTGGCCTGTACCTCTCGTTCCTTTATCACTTCCCTAAAGTGTTTCACAACATTGTCAGTGTAATAATCACCAGCACGGCTTGCAATAGCTGTGTGAGGGTGATTTTCATCCATGAAGGTTTGCACTTCAAGCCACTTTGCACAGATTTCCTTTATCTTTGTAGTAGGCAACTTCTTCAATTTCTCTCTCCCCTCCTCTGAACCAGTTTCCTCAGGTCTGGCCTCTTGCTGTTGAAGTTGATCTATCAGCTCATCAGTGGTTAGTTCTTCATTGTCCTCCTCCACCAACTCTTCCACATCCTCCCACTAACCTCCAACCCAAGGACTTTCCCAATGCCACAATGGATTCCTCAACTGGAATAATCCTCTCAGGGTTAGCCTCAAACCCTTCAAAATCCCTTTTGTCTACACATTCTGGCCACAGTTTCTTCCACGCAGAGTTCAAGGTCCTCTTAGTCACTCCCTCCCAAGCCTTACCTATAAGGTTTACACAATTGAGGATATTAAAGTGCTCTCTCCAAAACTCTCTTAGAGTCAGTTGAGTTTCTGAGGTCACTACAAAGCACCTTTCAAACAGAGCTTTTGTGTACAGTTTTTTGAAGTTTGCAATAACCTGCTGGTCCATGGGCTGCAGGAGAGGAGTGGTATTAGGAGGCAAAAACTTCACCTTAATGAAGCTCATGTCCCCATAAAGTCGCTCTGCCACGTCTGTAGGATGACCAGGGGCATTGTCTAACACCAGGAGGCACTTAAGGTCTAATTTCTTTTCAGTTAGGTAATCTTTCACATTGGGGGCAAATGCATGGTGTAACCAGTTATAGAAAAAGTCCCTAGTGACCCATGCCTTACTGTTTGCCCTCCACAGCACACACAAATTATCCTTGAGAACATTCTTTTGCCTGAACGCTCTGGGAGTTTCAGAGTGATACACTAATAAAGGCTTAACTTTGCAATCACCACTAGCATTGGCACACATCAACAAAGTAAGCCTGTCTTTCATAGGCTTATGTCCTGGAGTGCCTTTTCCTCCTGAGTAATGTAGGTCCTGCTTGGCATTTTCTTCCAGAACAGGCCTGTTTCATCACAATTAAACACTTGTTCAGGTTTCAGTCCTTCACTGTCTATGTACTCCTTGAATTCCTGCACATATTTTTCAGCCGCTTTGTGGTCCGAACTGGCAGCCTCACCATGCCTTATCACACTATGGATGCCACTACGCTTCTTAAATCTCTCAAACCAACCTTTGCTGGCCTTAAATTTCACTCACATCATCACTAGTTGCAGGCATTTTTTTAATTAAATCCTCATGCAACTTCCTAGCCTTTTCACATATGATCGCTTGAGAGACGCTATCTCCTGCTAGCTGTTTTTTCATTTATCCACACCAATAAGAGTCTCTCAACATCTTCCATCACTTGCGATCTTTGTTTCGAAAACACAGTTAAACCTTTGGCAAGAACAGCTTCCTTGATTGTCTTTCTGGTGCCCACAATAGTAGCGATGGTTGATTGGGGTTTCTTGTACAACTTGACTAGGTCGGCGATACGCACTCCACTTTCATACTTATCAATGATCTCTTTCTTTATTTCTATTGGAATTCTCACCCTTATTGGTGTACGGTTGGCACTAGAAGCTTTCTTGGGGCCCATGGTCACTTATTTTCCAGAAACAGCACCGAAAACACTGTAATAATACGAAATATTCCGAGTGTATGCTTGGATGTTACCGCGGAGGCTGGCTGGTAAACAATGGCACGGGCGGCACATGTGAGGCTGGCTGAGGGCGCACATTGGACGCGTCTCGGACGAAAATCGGTGAGCGGGTTTTTAATCGGTATGCGCGGCAAAATTTTTGCGATTAAAGTAAGCGGTATGCGGATTAATCGCTATGTGATGCCATCGTTATGCGGGGGTCCACTGTATTCTACGATATTTAAGCATCCCAGAGCAATAAAATGCATATACAGTTCACTCATTACTTACCTTAATATATTTGTAGTCTTAATGTAGGGTCAGGGGTGAGTAAACAAGATAAAACGAATAAATGAGAGAGAGAGAGAATGAGTACATGAGGGAGGACAGGCGCAGAGTTTTGTAAACAAACCAGGCGAACATAAGTTTTGTAAACAAACAAAGTGTACACGTCTGGTTTGTGTACAAGTTACATTGTGTACAAGTTGTCTCTACATTGATACGGTAGAATAAATAAAGAACACTCCCATTCTCATGTAACACCATTTTGAGAAGATATGACGCTCTGAGTGAAGGCAATGGAAATAAGTCACTTTGACTTTTTTGGGTTATCCTAGGTTCTCTACACATATGCTATTATGTATGATAATCTGTGTAACTGTATTTGTGTATGCCTGAATAAACTTACTTACATACGAAAGGAATAATTTTCTACAGTTACCCCCCAGTAACACATTTTCTCTTATGTTAGACTAGAGAAAATTTTATTCTTGCCGTCACTTGTACAAGTTATCTGGCTACAACATCTCATATTTATGTTTATTTATTCTGTTGTGGGGTGTATTTATCATCTTTTTATGTTATGTATCGTGTTTATTATATAATTTAAAAAAAAATATATAATGGATGCATTAATGAAAATGTGTATATTAACGTAATATACTACATTTAATGAGACTCGGTGATTATTATTATTATTATTATTATCATTTCTAATATGGCGTCACTTGTGCAAGTCGTCTGCTATCACATCTCATATTTGTTTATTTATTCTACTGTGGGGTGTATTTATCATCTTTATATGTTATGTATCGTGTTTATTATACTATAATTTTGAAAAAATATCATGGATGGATTAATGAAAATGTGTATATTAACGTAATATACTACATTTAATGAGACTCGGTGATTATTATTATCATTATACTAATATGACATCTCGAGATATAAAAGACTCTTACTGATTTTAATGTGTACCTGCACGCTAGCACAGTATGTAAGTTTATTTAGGTACAGGTATACATAAGTATAATTATCAGAGTATATATAAAAAAAATTTTTTTTTTTTTTTCTTCAACAAGTCGGTTGTCTCCCACCGAGGCAGGGTGACCCAAAAAAGAAAGAAAATCCCCCCCAAAAAAATACTTTCATCATCACTCAACACTTTCACCACACTCACACATTATCACTGCTTTTGCAGAAGTGCTCAGAATACAACAGTTTAGAAGCATATACGTATAAAGATACACAACATATCCCTCCAAACTGCCAATATATAAAATATGAAATAACTTTTAAAAGCCCTTGAAATTTTGGAGTTTCCAGACATAATGGAGAGACTTGGTGCTTACGGATCTCACAGAGAATATAAACAAACCGGGTGGGGCGCGGTGACCGTATTAGAAAGTCAGGTGGGGGAGCCGTATAGCGAGTTTTGGTCATAATTTGAAATGACCGTATTGGCGGAACGCCGTAAAGCGGGGCCCTGCTGTATATAAAAGAATTTAGTATTTTGCTTTCACCTTGTCATATTTGCTTGAATAATACTGTATAAATGTATTTGCAGATCTGGTGTGCTGCAGGAGTTAACTTGACAGGAGGAAGAACAAAAGATGGTGGGAATATTGTAGGTGCCAGTGTTTTCTACTCCGGTGACACAGAGACAACAATAATTAAACCTGAAGATGAAATAGATAAATTAGATATGGAACTGAAGGTTAGCACGTATTGCATTTTAGTTTTAGTTGTTTTAGAAAGCATGACTGTGGGGGAGGGGATATGCTTTATAATAATTATATATTATTACAATAATTAAAATATAATACTTTAACTTGCTACCTGAACTGTGTATAAAAGGATTTAGCATTATAGCAACCAACCAAAAGAAGGCTACTGCAGTATTATTCTGCTGTATAATACAGAGGAGTGTGTGATGTATCAGTTGACTCACATTGACCCGAGAGCTTGTTTCCAACCTTCATCCTCGTGAAACATGGATGACATATTCTGTTTTGTCTTCAAGCTAAACAATATTACATCAAGATGGCAGTTGAGGATTGTACTGCAAATGTACTCCTAGTCAGTTTCCTGGCACCTCTCATAAGAAGGAAAGATAATCATAGCAGTGTTAGTGTTGACTAAATGTGTGTTGTTGCAAAGAAAACTAGGGATGCAGATGCTCTTGTTTATAACGTAACATTATGAAAAAACTCATTAGTGAAATAAACATTATAATGGTAGAAAGTCTGTGGTATTGCATATGATTTGAAGCAGGAAAGTAACACTTTTAAATTGTAAGTAATGAGGAAAAAATATATTATTTCTTTCACCAGTGTCTTGATGAAAATATATTACTTCTTGTTGATGGAAAAGACAATGGAATGACATTTAAGAATTTAAGATAGACAGCAACTCTTCATATAATTGTGTCAGGAATTATCAGGTTTAAAATATAGTACACCACAGTATTGTTGACTTAAGTGATAAAAAATGTCCACAGATGCTAATCTGTGATTAGGATACTGAGGATTGGTTTGTAGGATACAGAGAATTAGTTTGTGATTAAAATGTTCTTGTGTATAATATAACCACACAGAAAAATTATTGTTGCCATCTTAAACACAGTTCAGGCAATGATGATGACAAAAGTTATGAAAGAGATGAATCAGTGATGACATTGTATGTGGTTGATGTATGGCATAGCTGACAAGGGGTTAAAAAGACACAAAAAACAAAAGGAGACCTTTATTAGTATGTTTCACCTACATGAGTCTTTAGCAAGGTACTCTTCATCTTCCTTATCAAGTCTTTTATAATTGAAATGTCACATTAACCCCTTGACTGTCGCAACCCCAAATCCTGAGGTGTCTCCTGGTGTCGCAAAAGTTCAAAAGAAAAAAAAAATATTTATTCTTATGAAATGATAGAGAATCTTTTCCTGATTGTAATGACACCAAAAGAACGAAATTTGATGGAAAACTGGCAGAATTACGCTCTCGCGAAGTTAGCGACCTCGGCGATATTTACGAATCGGCAATTTCCCCCACTTTGAGCCCTATTTTCGGCTAATTCCATTGTTCCAGTCAGCCAAATTCATAGATATTTCTTTAGAATTCCATTTTTTCTATTGATTGAGTACAAGAAACTGCCTATTTACCGATTTCAACTACTTAATAACGTGGTCAGAAATTTGCAATTTGGCCAATTTCACAAAAATTAAAAAAATATGACAACTTCAAAATAGTGTCCAGAATGAACAATGCAGACATTCCCGGCTCCAAAATAACATTTTCTTTGTTCATCAGTCATGTCTCCAGGCCCCTCTGATATTACTCTTGCTTTCTATTTTTAATTTTTATTCAAATAAAAAATAGAAGATTTACTGTTATGCAGACTACTGCAATATTGTAATAATTGTATAAATAATGTCAACCCATTCATGACTGCATATTAGAATGGCTACTTCGACATTTATTGGAAAATGACTTCATTTGTTTACTTTTGAACATCGTCAAAAATCAAACATTTCCCTCATTTTGAGCTCTATTTCAAGGTTCTTTTCATAGTAAAACCAATCAAAATCACCTCTATTTCTATATGTTTTCCATTCTATCAAATGAGACCAAGAAAACGAGAATACAACCATAAATACTATACGAAAATAGACCACAAAGTCGGCATTTTAATTAAAAAACGTTCCAAGTTTTTTTTTTTCTCATTATGCACTGCGTGCTGCAGGATTTTTTTTATATGGTGCACACTGACCACACATACCCATTCTCTCACATGTGGGCCTACCAGCTTTCTCCTGCTTGATTTGAAGCCGCTAGAATTTATGAATGTACACGTATATACGTCAAAAACGGTGGCTCATAAGACGTATATATTTGACCAAAACAGTCAAAGGGTTAATATAATGTCTCTGTGTATGTGAAATGTATTAACAAAAGGTCCTCGTGTAGTTGAAATGTCATACTATTAAAAGATCTCTGTTTAAGTAAAATGTTGTACTAATAAAAGGTCTCCTTTTGCTGTGTATGTCTTTTTAACCAGAGTGTACATGGGTATAAAATTTAGGAAAGGTAATAACCAGTTTGGAAAGGAAACAGTCATGTTGCTGCACATGGTATATCAGCAGTTGAATGAAAAAACGAAGAGTGCAGGCATGAATCAAATGACATTCAACTTCATTATTTAAAAAGTCGACTGATAAAAGACTGTGATTTAAGCTGTTTCATTTTTATATTACGATGCATATGCTGCATGTACATTACAATATCTCTAATTCTGTCACTTATCAATGCTCCTTAAATCATCTTCAACAATAATTGTATGTGTGTTTCTTTCTTTGGGTCATCTTACCATGATGGGAGATGGATACCGTGATTAACAAAATAATATTGCTTTGATAAAAAATATACCTTTCTGCTGTTGGTAAGCAATATTTTTACATAAATTTCAACATTTTGGGGGGTGAATCTGGTATGGAGTGGGAGTTGTCACAGTTGTTGTTTGCCAATGACATTTCTTTTGGGATATTCCAAATGAATTTGATCTGGTACGTGAAAGAAGGAAATTAAGTGAACATAGGAAATTGCAATGCGATGATAATATCAAGCATTATAGGTAACAAGAAATTGAATGTCACATTGGAGGGAGGGAGTATGGAGCAAGTAAATGTGTTCAGATATTTCCAGTGGATGGTTCTATGAGAGAAGAGGAACCATAAAATTGACAAAGGGATAAAAGGTGGGTGATATATTGAAGCACATGTGGGAACAAAGAACTTCATCCATGGAGGCAAAAAGGTTAATGTACCAGAGTATAGTGGTACCAACACTTGTTTGGGTTTTGAATGTTGCAGCAAAGAGTAGGCTGGAGGCAGTAGAGATGTCAAATTTGAGAGTAATGTGAAGTGTGAATATTATGCAGAGAATTCAGAGTTTAGAGATTAGGAGGTGTGAAGTTACCAAAAGTATGATTCAAAGGGCTGAGGAGGGATTGTTGAGGTGGTTTGAACATTGAGGGGATGGAGAAAAAATAGATTGACTAGATGGGCATATAAATCTGAGGTGGAGGGAAGGAGGGTTAGGGGTCATCCTAGGAAAGGTTAGAGGGAAGGAGATTGTAAGTGCTAGGGGCTTGGATGTCCACTAGGCTTGTGTGAGTGAATAGAGGCAGTTACTTTTTATGATTGCATGAAAGGATTCAGGGAAATTGGTTAGCTGAATTTGAGTCTTGAAGATGGGAAATACAGTCATGCACTCAGAAGGGATGAGGATGTTGCAGTTTGGAGGGTCATCTGAACCATAATGTCAGCATGCTTGTGCCAAGACAGTGATTGAATATGTGACAGTGAAGGTGTTTTCTTCTTTGGTCACCTTGCCTTGGTGGGATACAGCCAGAGTGTTTAAAATAATAGATGGTTCATTATACATTTTTTTTTTTTTGTTGTATAATGTGGATTCTTGGATCTAACAGAAAGATTAAATGCCCAGTTAGTCCATTGTCTAGGTGAACCACTGTAATGATGTTAATTAATTAAAATGCAGTACATGATGTTTGAATAAGATGTAAAATGTAGTTGGATGAGGGTATTGTCTGTGAGGCCTTTGCCTCACTAATCTACTTAAATTGATGACATTTGCAATAGAGTAAAATAACAGTGTATTATAAGGGGTATTATACAGTTGAAATTCATTCATGTTAACATTGAAATTGGAATTAACAGAGTTGATATAAAGTCATACAGGCAACCCCTGCTGAACAGTAAATGAAGAACATTGTTATTTAGAACAGGTGGTCCATGTAGGTGTTACTGGGTTGTTACCTTAGAAGTGAGAGGATTTGGTATAGTGGGTGAACATTTTATCACCTTCGCATGAGACGTCTCGCTGCTCAACACCACTCATTACTCGTCAAACTTTCACTGTATTTCTCCATGAAGCATGAGAGAGCATGCTCTCCTGTACTTGGAGAGTTACATGTTTATGTTGATGCTTTTGGGGATCATCTTCCCTGCAATCCCTTCTCATACCAAGTTTCCTGATTCATACTCTGGTCAGTCAGGTTGTTGGTGCTTGGAGCATGTGTCAGTATTGTTATTACTATCACTATAAAATATAGTTCCTAGATTATGAACAGTAATGACAGTATTGCTACATGCAGCCTGAAGTAGGCACGACAGCCCAGCTGATCAGGAATGATTTGAAACCATTTAAGTTCCCGGGCCGCGGGGGCGTTGACCCCCGGAACTCTCTCCAGGTAAACATCTCTGATAGTCATTGGGGGAATTTTTCACCACTTGCAGTGCTGTTTCAGTGTGCACATATCAATCCGGTCGCTCCAATATTTTCCAGGCGTAACTTATGCTTCTTCATATCTTTCTCGCCTGTGTTCCAAGAAGTAATGTTTAAGAAATTTAAGATGTTTTTAATGATTAATAGAGAGTAGAAGCTCTTTCTACTTTCTTCAGATCCAACATTGCCTGCTCTTGATGGGGCTATTAGTGTGCAGCAGTATTCTAGTCTAGAGTACAAGTAATTTAAATACATACCTTAAAAAAGTAGCTTCATTGGCTGGGCAATCTTTATGTTGAGGGATTTTTGTTATCTAGTCTATCATTTTCTTGTCAATTTGATAGTAGCAATATTGTGTTCCTTGCTTGTAAGATCTTTTGAAATGGTTACCCTAAATGTCCTACATTCTTCTGTAGCTTCAAGGTTTGCTATGTCATTAACCCTTTCAGGGTCCAGACCCCCGATCTGAAACTTGTCTACAGGGTCCAAGAATTAAAAAAAAAAAAAAAAAAATTTTTTCTTATGAAATGCTAGAGAATCTTTTTCTGAAGGTAATAAAACAAAAGGTACAAAATTTGATGGAAAATTTATGCAATCCGCTCTTGCGAACTTTGCTGCATCAGCGATATTTATGCATTGGTGATTTTTGCCCACTTTGACTCCCATTTTTAGGTCAGTTACATTATTCCAGTCGACCAAATTCTTAGCTATTTCGCTAGTATTACTTCTATTTTATCGATTGAGCATGAGAAATTGCCCAGTCAACAATTTCAACTACCCAATAAAGTGATCAGAAATCTGTAATTTGGCCTATTTCACACAAAGTTCATAATAATTAGGGTCCAGAATAAACAAAGGAGGCATTCCTGGCACTAAAATAACATTTCTTCTGTTTATTAGTTACATTTTCAGGCTTTACAAATGAATTCCACTTTGATTTTTTATTTATATGAATTTTTATTCACACCAAAAAACAGAAGATTTACTGTTATGCAATATTGTAATAATTGTATAAATAATAACAGCACATTTGTGAAGACACATTAGACCCACCAGCTGACATGTATTGGATGCATGATATTTTTTTACTCTTGAACATTGGCAAAAATCAAACATTTCTGCTACTTTGACCTCAGTTTCAAGCCATTTTCAATACAAAACCAATCAAAATCATCTGTATTTCTGTAATATGTCTTCCATTCTATCAAATGAGACCAAGAAACCACGAATACAACTGTAAAAACATACGAAAATACACCGCAAAGTTTTTTTTTTTTTAATAAAAAGACATGGTCCCCGTTTTTTCTCATTATGCACTGCGTGGTGCAGGATTTATATTTTATGGTGCACACTTACCACATAGATGCATTCTCTCATATCTGGGCCCAAATTTACTGCTCACAGCTTATTTGAGTGAGCTGAGCTCATGGTGTAGAACTACGGCTTGGGCCCTGTCTCCAAAGGTGTAGAACTATGGGACAGACCCTCAAAGAGTTAATGGATGCCAATCACATGCTTATTTAATAATTATCTATGTAGAGAAAGAGAAACGAAGAAATAACAACTAGTTGGTGTTATAAAAGGTATAATTCAAAGAGTGAAAGAGGTTTGGTCATTAGAAAGGATTGAGAAAAATAGATTTTATGAAGGTGTGTAAGACATGAAATGACTAAGGAAGTTATGGAAGAAAAGTACGAGGGAGGTTTTAAGAGTGATTTCAACTGAATGTGTTTTTTTTGGATTTCACATGCTGCTGGAGTGTGAGCAAGGGAATATTGATGAAAGGACTTTCAGAAACTAATTAGTCAGATTAGAGTTTTTGAAGTGGGAAATACAGTGCTTGTACTTTGAAAGTTCATCCAATATTCTGCTGTTCGGTGGGTCATTAATGGATTATTTATTTTGTGCCCTTCAGGAAATACAGGTAAGTTGAGTGATGGTAAATGGTTTTTCTTTGGGCATTTGGCCTTGGTGAAACATAGCAATCATGTTTTTGAAATTACTGATGCTTATAATTATGTAATTGTAACAGCTGTTATAAATCTGTATACAATATCATATAATTATGAATATAATTTTGATAATTTATAATCATTTATAATTGTTAAGAATCATATTGTGTGCAGGGTATGTGTATGTGAAGAAGGCTTGAGCAAACACAGCTACAACAGTGTCATTTTCACTAACTAAATGAAAGTACTAGGATAATTCGCATTTACAATGTTCACTTCCTATCGACAATTAGCTGGGAGTCACAGCCCAGTGCACAGCTCATGACACTGACATTCAACAGACTACTTCAGTTCATGCCTCCTTAACAATGCATCACTAGTGCAAATTGCATAAAACCAAACTACCCTTTATAACCACAGTTCAGTATATCACCACTTCCTTGCAATCCACTACACCATTCACAGTGTCACTTCAATACACAGTACCTGCCCACACTGGTCAGTATCACCTCACTGCACAACACTGGTCACAATATCATTTCACCATACAGTACCTAAACTGGTCACCTTACTTCACAATATGTTTATTACACTCAGTACCCAGTCCATTTTGACAGTGCCATGCAGCAGTTCATCTCTTGCTTGTTACTTTCAAGCATGTGCATTAAACGTGCCTAATATCCACCATCTAGGACCATTTCCACTTAATTTTAACTCGACCATTGTCCTCTGGGGTTTGGAGCCACTGACCATCCAGGCTTCATAAATGAAGCTCTCACACTCTCCATGCCTCACAGTTTCATCTGCCTCCTCATAGCTTCTGACCCCCACCACTCACCCCGTCCCTTGAACACATTTGTTATAGGTATACTAAGATGGCCAGCAACCTCCAAAACAGTATCCTGAAATCTTTTATTCACTTACAAAAATAAATAAAACTGTGTATATAATTGAACTGACTTTCTTAGTTAAGTTGCGAAGTTCTTTCATTGTGGAGGCTTCCTTCGTCTGTGAGCTCTCCAGGGATTGTCTTCAACATCCTAGTCTGATGACCCATCACTCACATCCTCCACTTCGTTGGTCTTCCCCAGCTGGAACCGGTCAGTGTGACACTACAGGATACATCTCTGCCTTCTGGAGAGGAATCAATGACTCCTCACAATAACAGTCCCCTTGAACCTCCTGAGGATGCTCAGGGAACTTCTCATAACTACCAGTCACCTCAGCCTCCTGGAGATGATGTGGAGTCTCCTTCTGACCGCCAGCCACCTCAGCCTTCTGGGGATGATCTGGAATCTCCTGCCCGCCAGCCACCTCAGCCACTTGAAGATGTTCTGGGAACTTCTCCAGACTGCCATCCACCTCAGTCTCTGGTATGTCGTATGCTGGCTCTCGGTGAGATGTGCCACTGCATAGGAAGGCACTCTCTCTTCTCTGGATATAGGACTGCCATCTGCTACTTTCTCCCAAGCAAGCTTTGCAGAACTTTCCCTCGTGTACTGCATTGCAAACAGCATGACCTGGTTGTCTTCCCACAGCTGCTTATTGTGTTGCTCAGCATTATCCTAAGAAGTATCCTGATGACACCTGTACATGGGGATTTTCCTCTGCTACCTATGCCAGTGAGCTGCACTGCTCAAACAAGGGTCCTGATTAGCCACAGTTACCCACTTGCAGCTACTGCTGACTGGTCTTCCTCTAGATACAACCACTTGCTGCTCTGCATGCTCAGCTCTCTACAGCCTGGTCCACTTGGTCACAGGCCTTACCTTGGTTGTCTGGCCTGCTTCCATTACTGAGGTGTATCCTGCTCTGTTGGAGACTTACTGTTAATGGTCTAACAGTAACACTTCCAATGACCCTTCTCGCTGCACTGTCAGTTTATTCCCTGGATCTTGTCCTCTGGACCCACATACTTCCTCTACTTGAACAGGCACTGTTGTCTGCCATTTGCAACCTTCTCTACCAAACCCTGGATGTCAACGTTTTCTACTAGACCTTGGGTGGCAGCCTTGCTGCCAAACCTTGGATATCAGTCTTGTCCCAAAATTAGTCTTACCTGAACTGATCATCTCACCCTGGCTGGATTTTTACATGGGCATTGCCATACCATTGCTATAGTATTTCCATGAAGATTCAGCAATGGTGTCACTCCTCCTTGGGCAGGTCTCTCAGTATCTTTGGGGATAGCCCCTTCAGACTAATGGCCAACTGTGAAACATGCTAGTGTTATTTGTTTTGCCTGCAATTCAAACTGTGCCATATATACTTCATATTGATCTGTGCCATCAGTTTCATGCAGCTACTGCCATATGTCTGAGGTTCCACCCCCCACCCCAAGCAAGAATACTGGCACTCGACAATTCAGATGCCCCTCAACATGATAATAGAAGACTGGCCCACATAACTGCTGGTTAGGTGATGCTTGACCCCAAGTGGTCCAGACTGGCCCTTCTGGCTTCTCTCATCTCCCATGGCATCTGCATCATCTTGCTTTCCATTTGGTCTGACTGCTTTGCTTCCAGTACAGTACAGTACTTTCTGGCTTGACTGCTTTGTGCTCTGACCCATCTGTTCCTACTGCTGATTCAACAGCTGTGTTTCCTGGCCCTCCTGCTAGTTCACTTTGGCTAGGGATACCAACTATTGTTTCACAGCTGCTTGTAAACACACTTACCTCTTCTGCCTTCTGCTGCAGCTCTTGTTGCAAGCACCCAAAATTGTTACCCTGCTTCTGTTGACTGTCTTTTATCAGCTGTTGGTATTGCTTTATGCTTGACAAACTCATTTTGTTCTGCCAACTGCTGTTACATCTTCTGCATGAAGCCTATCAGTTCAGCCAATCTTACTTCCTACAATGAATTCTCTTGTTATTCAGTCATCTTGCCATCACTCTCCTATACAGTGGACCCCCGGTTAACGATATTTTTTCACTCCAGAAGTATGTTCAGGTGCCAGTACTGACCGAATTTGTTCCCATAAGGAATATTGTGAAGTAGATTAGTCCATTTCACACCCCCAAACATACATGTACAAACGCACTTACATAAATAAACTTACATAATTGGTCGCATTCGGAGGTGATCGTTATGCGGGGGTCCACTGTATTGTATTCCTGATGCCAAATGTTAGGCACAGGGTATGCCTGTGAGAGGAGCTTCAAGAAACCCATGGTTAAGACAATTACTACTTTATTGATTAAATGAACAATGAAAGAATTCAAATTTACAGTATTCATTTATCATCAGTATAATAAAAGTCACAGGAGTGGGGAACAATTCACAAATAACCTACACTCTGAACAGGAAACTTAATATTTCAGTCTGTCCCCACTGACATTGTTACAGTCTTGAAAACGGCATATTACACAAGATCATGTTACTTTATCTGAAGGACATACAGAGAAAAAGAGTTAAATCTCAAGACCTTCAGGAAAGCCAACTAAGTTTCTATAATTTTTCTATTCCTCATAATGCAGTGATTATTTCTTGATGATTTGGAAATGGGTAGAAAGAATTGATGTGGCCCTGTACAGTACCTGTACAAATATGTAACAGGGAGCATCAGCTACCACTATCATCTGCCAGCATCAGTAAAAATATGAGTGCAAGCCACTCCAAATAAAATATAAAAAATTTACTGAATTAGTTTTAAAAGTACTCTGCCTCTGATAGTCAATCTCATTGCTGTGGGATTGACTATCAGAATGTTTCTGTAAATTTAAACTAGTTACTTCATGTTAATAATTTCATTCAAATAAATGTCAAAATACAGTGTCATTGCCGATAAATTTTGATAAAAATGAGAGTGAGGAGGAGCAGAGGGCAGGAGGGAGGGACAAGCAACCACAAACATTGTCAGTGCTCCAAACAAGGCAGAACTGCAAAATCATCCCTTAAATTTCTTTTTAATTACTTTTTTCACACTTTATCAGCTAATATTGAGTTTAGGGGACTTCTGATTTTTATTACAGTAAATCTTCAATATAATGGTCAGTTTAAATTATAGGTAAAATCCACTGGGTAATTAGTAGTTTTAACGTCTTATTTTCAATAATTATTGTGCCTGCTGCACAATTCGTAGCCCACCTTCACCTTGTCACTGGTGCACCTGCTCACTAAATGTTAGTAGAAAAAATGCATGTTTTTTTTTTTTTTTTTTAACCCCTAAACGGTCCAAACGTATATATACAGTGGACCCTCACCATACGATATTAATCCGTTCCTGAAAGCTCATCATATGCTGAAGTTATCGTAAAGTGAATTAATTTTCCCCAAAAGAAATAATGGAAATCAAATTAATCCGTGCAAGACACCACAAAGTATAAAAAAAAAATTTACCACATGAAATATTAATTTTAATACACACAAACTGACACTTATCTTTATTGAAGATCTGGTGATGATTGATGGGATGGGAGGAGGGGAGAGTATGGCAGTTGTTAATGTTTAGAAGGGGAATCCCCTTCCATTAGAACTTTAGGTAGCATGTTCTTTTCCGGGGTTACTTCCCTTCTTCTTTTAATGCCACTAGGACCAGCTGACCGTGGTGCAGCAATAGCTGACTTAGGTGCAGCAGCAGCTCACCGTGGTGCAACAGCAGCTCACCGTGGTTCAGCAATAGCTGACCGTGGTGCAGCAACAGCTGATGGTGGTGTAGCAGCAGCTGACTGGTGCAGCAGCAGCTGACTGTGGTGCAGCAGCAGCTGACTGTGGTGCAGCAGCAGCTGACCGTGGTGCAACAGCAGCTCACTGTGGTTCAGCAACAGCTGACTGGTGCAGCAACAGCTGACCGTTGTGCAGCAACAGATGACCGTGGTGCAGCAGCAGCTGACCTTGGTGCAACAGCAGCTCACCGTGGTTCAGCAACAGCTGACTGGTGCAGCAACAGCTGACTGTGGTGCAGCAACAGCTGATGGTGGTGTAGCAGCAGCTGACTGTGGTGCAGCAGCAACTGACCGTGGTGCAACAGCAGCTCACTGTGGTTCAGCAACAGCTTACTGGTGCAGCAACAGCTGACCGTGGTGCAGCAACAGCTGACCGTGGTGCAGCAACAGCTGACTGGTGCAGCAACAGCCGACTTTGGTGCAGCAACAGCTGACGGTGGTGCAGCAGCAGCTGACCGTGGTACGAGAGTATATATTTTACCACAGGGTTGGCACTAGAAGCTTTCTTTGGGCCCATGGTGGCTTATTTAGCAGTTACAAGCACTATAAACAATGGAATAATACAAAATGTATCGAATGTATGCATGCAACCAGCCACCCTGACTTGTAAACAATGATGGCAAGGCTGGATGGACAGGTTCGGGACGAGTCATGTTGGTCAGAAACAGCTGACGGTGGTGCAGCAGCAGCTGACTGTGGTGCAGCAGCAGCTCACTGTGGTTCAGCAACAGCTGACTGGTGCAGCAGCAGCTGACCGTGGTGCAGCAACAGCTGACGGTGGTGTAGCAGCAGCTGACTGTGGTGCAGCAGTAGCAGCTGACCGTGGTGCAGCAGCAGCTGACTGTGGTTCAGCAACAGCTGACTGGTGCAGCAACTGCTGACCGTGGTTCAGCAACAGCTGACTGTGGTGCAGCAGCAGCTGACCATGGTACAGCAGCAGCTGACTGTGGTGCAGCAGCAGCTGACGGTGGTGCAGCAACAGCTGACCATGGTGCAGCAGCAGCTGACCGTGGTACGATAGTACGTATTTCCCACCCTTTTTACATATGATCGCTTGAGAGATGGTATCTCCTGCTATCTGTTTTTCGTTTATCCACACCAATAACAGTCTCTCAACATCTTTGAGTACTTGTGATCTCTGTTTCGAAAACAAACTTGCACCTTTTGCAAGAACAGCTTCCTTGATTACCGTTTTGTTGGCCACAATAGTAGCAATGGTTGATTGGGGTTTGTTATACAACCTGGCCAGCTCCAAGACACTCCACTTTCGTACTTAGCAATTATCTCTTTCTTCATTTCCATAGTAATTTTCACCTTTTTTACTGCACGGTTGGCACTAGAAGCTTTCTTGGGGCCCATGGTGACTTATTTTGCAGGTACAATCACTAAAAACGCTGTGATGATATGAAATGTTCCGATTGTATGCGTGGATGCGACCACACTCGCTGGCTTGTAAACACTGGCACCCACGGGACAGCTGAGGCGTGCTCAGGCCACACGGACACGTCTCGAACGAATCGCGTAAGCTAGTTTTTTAGCGTAAGGTGAGGCAAAATTTTTGCGTTAAAATGTATCGTATGATGGATTTAACATAAGGTGATGCCATTGTATGGTGAGGGTCCACTGTACGTTCTTACTGCTAACACCCCAAATGTATTATATGTTTTATTTTTCCTGCCTCCAAATTTGGCACAATTGGCCTGAGAT